ACATGCATTTGGCGAAGTGAGAGAAAGCAGTCTTAAAGGCCTACATGTGGTATGAGTTCATTTATAGGCCGTTCTGGAAAGGGAAAACTATAGTCAGGACAGGGCTTCCCAGGCGGTGCAGTGGAAAAGAATCTGTTTGCTAAGGTAGGAGACACAAGAGACGTGGGAAACACGGGTTCAGTCCCTGGGTGGAAAAGATCCTCTGAGGGAGGAAATGGCAACCCACTCCAATATTCTTGCCTGGAAAACCCCATGGACAGAGAAGCCTGGTGGGCAACAGTCCAGGGGGTCTGAACGAGTCAGACCCAAAGGAGCACCCGTACACACACACACATAGGATAAACCTGTCAGCGGATCCAGGAATTCAAGGGAGGGCACTGGACAGATGAAGCATAGGTGATTGTTAGGGGTGGTGAAGCTATGCTGTATGACCTGGGATGGTGGACCCACGATATCATGCCCCTGTCAAAAATCACGGAGCTTGATGGCATGAAGGACGAACCTAACGTGCACAGGTACAACGTCATTTAGGAGGTCCTGATTCTCAGGTTGAAGTATAGACTGTAAACAATGTCTACTGACATTACACAGCTTACAAGAGCATACTGAAGGTGGTGGGATCTGTGGGAACTTTCCCAACATGTGGGGTCTGTCAGGCTGAGGGTGGAGGAGTGTTCACTGGGCTGAGCCGCGACAGTGACCCCGTGTGTCTACGCAGACAGTGCTGACCACTCAGAACACTGCATGTGCACACTGGGACCCGAGCACTAGGTACCAGATGGCACGTGATGGGAACCAGGCTTCTCGCTGTTGCGTGGGCAGTTCCGGATGCCAGGGAGGAAGGCTAGAGAGGTCCCTGAAGCTTTGGGGTAGGGGTGGATGCACCACTGTGTTTGAAAGTTCAGTCTAGTACCGGCAGAGAAGAAGAGGTTCAGGAATACTGCTAGACATCAGCGTGTACCTGGTGCAGGACACTCTCACACACGCCCTAGCTCTGCTCGCCAAGCAGCCACAGTCAGCACAGTTGCATGGAAACACCTATCCCTAAACTCTTGGTTTCTGGTAACTTCTCACAAGCGAGGAAAGCAGAATTGCTTAGAGAAATGGCTAAATCCAGGGCTGGGATAGGGAGTGTGCAAGACAACGCTGGATAGGGAGTGTGCAAGACAACACAAAACCACACAGGAATTTCAAAGGGCTACAGGCACCAACCCTAAAGTTTAGCCAACTCCAGGATAAAAGTGGAACAATTTGAACAAATTAAACATTATGTTTATTTAATGCAAAGTACAGAATAAACATGTATAAGTACAAGTTTCAATACATGATTAAAGAGAATAAAGCTTGTGGGGGAGAAGAAACCGAAATCCCATGGAGAAGAAATGCACATTCCTTCCATGTTCCTGATCTTCCCACCTGTTCAGCCCCATCTGTTGAGGGTGGGGCCGGGCTGCACTTGGAAAACTGCTGGGTGCCCTTAAATTTGCCAACAAGTTTTTAGACCAACAAGTTTTAGACCAAAAGCATGATCCATGGGGGAAAAACAGATAAATTGGAAAGCATCACAATGAAAAACACTTGTTTTCTGAACTCCCTGGTAAAGGAGTCTAATGGCTAGCCACAGGCTGAAAGATACATTTATAAATAGCATATTTGGGAAGAACTTTGTGCTATGAATGCACGTGGACACTCATAACTGAACAACAGAAGGTAAGCAACCCAGTGAAAAATGAGTGAATTGTGAACTTCCCCGCAAAGACGGACAGCTGACACATGAGCACTTGGAAAGACCTTCCACATCCCAAGCCATCAGGGACTGCATGATTCAATGACCACGAGGTACCACTGCACAGTTAGAATGGCTGGAACCCAGAACACAGCATACCAGGTCCTGGCAAAGACAGAGCAAAACGGTGTTCACTCCTGGGCGGGGCGGCAAAAGGCTCAACCACCTGCAGACGTCTTAGTAGTGAACACACTCCTCTGAGAGGGAACACACTCCTCTGACAGAACACAGTCCTGAGAGTGGAGACACTGCTTCTTCGACAGTGAGCACAATCTTCTGACCGTGAACACACTCCTGAGACAGTGAGCGCATGTTTGCACCCACCTTTCTCAGGGCCCCAACCCAATCGGCCCTGTCGTCATCAGCCCCAGCACAGCCGCCCTGCCCCTCAGGGCTTCTGACACCCTCAGGATGTGTGTGTTCACACTGTGTGTCTCAGACAGCAATAAACAGCCAGGCCCTCAGACCTCAGACTGCTCAGCTCCACGCAGGCGGTGCTGGCGGACGTGTCTGCAGCCAGCGTGACTCTGCCCTGGAACTTCTGTGCATTCTTTGTCCACCAGCCTCGGGGTCAATCCGTCCACCCACTCAAGCCCGTGCTGAGGGGCCTGTCACACCCAGTGCGTGTCGTGGGCGCTGAAGGGGGATCCGGAAGCCGTGCAGGACACCCTCACTGATGCCCCGGGCTTCCTCGGCTCAGCCCCGACCGCACCAGCTGCACCTGGGTGTGCACAGCCGTGGACCGGGGTCAGAGGGGCATGAACCCCCTGACTGGACCCTGTCCCTTCCTCCACCCCAGACCGGGATGACCCTGACCTGGAGCCAAGGCCCCAGGAGGAGGACTCTCCAGCTCCCGTCCCTGGTGAGGGCTGTGCTCCCAGGACTGCTGTGCAGAGTCGGTGTTGTTGTGGGTGATGTTCTCAGGGCTCAGAATATCCCACTTTAACCTAGGACACCTCAGGCCATCTGCATGTTCTAGAGGCTGAAAACTTTACACTCACTACACGGGCAATATTAGGAAGGAGCAGTCCTATGACCCATGACCACGCTCAGTGGGAATTTGTGTGTCCGCGTCCTCACCCGTGTTTGAGGACGTGTGTCCCTGCCATGGCCCTGACCCCTGTGCACTCAGAGCTCTTGCAGTGAGGGACCAGCCGCACAGGACACAGTCCTCACCGTGAACCAGCCTTTAATGTCACAGAGACATCTTCACCTCTAATCCGTGTGTTCCCCAAACTCTGCCACCACTGGGTACTCACACGCACACACACACACACACAGTCACCTGTCACACAGACATACAGACACACACACTTTCACACTCACACACACACACACAAATCCAGACACATTCACACACTCAGATGCACGCATACACACACTCATGCTTACACACACACTCACATGCACACTCACACACACACATACACACCCACACATCACATGCACACTCACACACAGACATACACACCCACACATCACATGCACACTCACATACACTCACACACACACACACACATACACACACATACTTCCCGTGGCCTCGCTGAGCTGTGTATTCTCATCAGGACCCAATATTAAACGTCACCAGTCCTCGTCCTGCTAGCTATTGTTTTCCGTGAAAAGAGAAGACTCCGTCTCTGAGTCTCCCCAGCCCCCTCCCCACATGCTCCTGGGCAGCAGCCCTGCGCTGGGATCCTGGGCACCCCCTGCCTGGGCTCACAGGCAGTCCTAGCAGTGTTTCTAGCCTGGTAGGAAATGGCTGTGATCTACCGTCAGAGTATTCTTCTAGAGACAGCATGGTGTTTTAATCATCTCTAGAAATAGCCTCTATCGATGCACACTCTCTGGAGAGAGACCCAAGGAAGAAACTTATGAGAACACCTGGACGTCGCCTCCCTGGGGCTGCAGCTGCACTGAGGCAGCTGACACTCACAGTGAGTCCGGAGGCTCTCGAGGACTTGGGGTCCCTTCACCTCCTGGACCCCCCGGGGGCTAACGTTGTGCCACACGATAGCTGCACGCAGAAGCATGGGGCTTGATGCCCACTCCACCTACCGTTCCACCCCTGGGTTCCCCTGTTCTTGCAGCACCTGGACCCTGCAGGGGCCCCATAAGAAGGTGCCGGACTAGCCCCCATGTCAGAAACCAGTGCAGTTGCCCCCTGACAACTCACAGCACAAACGCCTGAAGGTCTCTAGTGCCCACACCTGTGTGAGAGGAGACACCTGAAGTCAGAGGAGGATGAGGCAGCGCCCTTGTCAGCTGACTCAGGAGATGCTGCCCTGAGGGAATGCTCACCCGGGGGACGGGGGGCGTTGAGCATGCTCAGGCACCTCAGTCGTGTCTGACCCTTTGAGACCCCACGGACTGTAGCCCACCAGACTCCTCTGTCCATGGGATTCTCCAGGCAGGAACACTGGAGTGGGTTGCCACAACAGCACCCTGCAGAGAAGCTAGGTCAGCAGTGTGCATGTCCCCTGGCAGGACATCTCTTCACCAGGACGGCCTTGGAGTGCATCCATCCTCAGACTCCATCCTGCTTCTCACCATCCATCCTGACCACCTGCCCAAGGACCTCAGGACCTGGCATCAGTGGGGAGACAGACCCGCTGCTGAGTCAGATACATCTCCTCTAGCAGGACCCTGTGACAAACCCGCTTCTTCCCCCTGTTCTGAGTCTCTGATGGAAACTTCATAAATATTCCTGAGCATGTCAGATACCCAAGAACAGGAGAGGGATTTTGACCAAGTTGATCAGGCAGGAGAGAGAGGGTGTCTGAGGCCAGCAGTGAGGTGCTCCAAGCCTGGTCTCTAGCCATGGGTACCAGAGCCTCAGTGCCCTGCCTTGGATGTTGTTTGGCTGTGGTCTCTGCACACTAGCTCCCCTCCTCAAAGAGGCTGCACATCATAGCTCTGCCAGGTCCCTGGGGGTCACATGTGGGTAGGGGCTTCCTGCATTGTTGAGGTTGAACACCCACGACTCAAGGGAGGTGAGTCTGGGCTGTGAGCATCTCCAGGGTCTCCAGTATTGGCCCATCCCCGCTTACCTCCTCCCGGCCTGCACTGCACCGGTCCAGTCCCTTCTTCTAGCTGTGAGATCTGCCCCCTCTGTAGGTCTGCAGTAGACAAGAACTTCTGTTCACCTCCTAGGAGAAGCTGGGGGAAGAGCTCTTCCCTGGAGGGTCTGCCTGATGCACCTTCTGGGTAGGTGTTAGCATTTCTCAGCATTGGCCTTCCCCTCGTCCATCAGGTGTCCTGAAGGGTTAAATATGAACACTCACCTTGAAGACCTGGATGTTTCTGGAGTTATATCCCAAAAGCCATGGAGTGTGACCCCTGGATCTCTCATCCTCACAGTGGTTATTGCTGGTCCTGCAGGAACTGGTAGGAATTACCCTGAAGGTGTGCCTCCTGAAGCTTCACATCCGTGGGCCGGTCTCACCTGGACTGTGGATTGCCCACCTCTCTGGTTTTGTTTTGGGAGATTCCCTTGAAATGTCAGGATTGTGTTCGGTCCAGGGAAAGTTTTGGTGTTGAGAATTCCCTTGCTTTAAGGATGGACATGACAGGTCTCACACACACTACCTCTTGATGCAAAAACCAGCAGGTACCAGCCGAGGCTGTCCTTGAGTTGTGAGTAGAAGGAGAAATCGGATGTCACTGCGCGTGAGAGGAGCCTGGACAGCCTTGACTAACACGAGAGACAGGGGCGAAGGGCACAGCAGGGCGCTTACACTTAGGCTCAGACTCCAAAGCTCTGCCAAGAGGCTGGAATGCAGAGAGCACCACGGTGAGGAGATTGTCACGCCCCCGGTGACCCAGTGCTAGCCAGAAGGCAGGACAACACATCTTATTACTGGTTCCTGAGGTAATTTCAGAGGAGCCGTTCCCCTCCTCCCCGCCCCTTTCCACGTCTGCATGTGGCCTTGGAACCAGATCCAAGGGCAGGTCCCCCGTTCTGAGCCCAGAGTCTCCGTCCCGACGGCCCCCTGCCCCTCCCACCTCAGCTCGGCTGCTCGTCCTCTCAGGCCGTGGGTCTCCCTCAGGGCTGAGCCCAGCACAGCTGCGGCTTCCTCACTCTGCACCAGTGACGGCCACCGTGGCGGGAGTGAGCACAGGGGGTGGTGGGCTCCATGCTGACCCCACGGGCAAATCCTCCTGAACACCTCTCTATTTCCCCTTATGACTGATCCAGACAGAAGCCCAGAATGGGGTGTGGACTTCAGGTAGGTAACAGTTTTGAAATGAACGTCAGAGTCAAGTGTTTTACTGAGCTCCTTAGAAAGAAGAACAATGAAGGAGAAAACAATTTAGCTGTTGACTATTATGTCTGTGTGTCTGTGTGTGTGTGTCTGCATAAAGCTATCCTTACTTCAAGGAGAAATTAAAACATACACACACACACAGTTGTCTGAGAGTGACATAAACCATAGCGATGGAATCTCAGGACACATGAGAGGGTCTGGGGCTTAGCTGCTGGGCGGGAGCAGTAAAGAACAGGTTCTGAAGGGAATCCCCTCCAGGCCGGCCAGCCCCCAACGCCTCTTCTCCCCGGCTCCGGGGCTCAGCTTTCTCCCGAGTCCCGGGCGCCCCCTGGTGGTCCGGGGCGCCCATGCAGCGAGGTTTGTGTCCGGGCTCACTCTGACTTCCCCTCACTGTGTCTCTTGCACAGTAATACAGGGCCGTGTCCTCAGGTGTCACGCTGCTCAGTGAGAGGGAGACTTGGCTCCTGGAGGTGTCCCTGGTGATGCTGAGCCTGGATTTCAGGGCTGGGTTATAGCCTGTGCTTCCACCACTACTGATTCCACCAACCCACTCCAGCGCCTTCCCTGGAGCCTGGCGGATCCAGGCTACACTATTGCTGCTTAATGAGATTCCAGAGACAGCGCAGGTGAGGGAGAGGGTCTGTGAGGGCTTCACCAGGCTGGGTCCCGACTCCTGCAGCTGCACCTGGGACAGGACGCCTGTGGACAGAGAGAAGCACGGTGACTCACGGGCTCAGATGCAGCTTCCCCACGTGCCCATGTCTGATCCAGAGACACTCACCGCTGGGAGCTGACAGCAGGAAGACGAAGGTCCACAGTGGGCTCATCTTCGAGCAGATGAGAGTCACCGCTCCCGGAAATCTCTTCAAGCCTGAGGAGCAGCCTGAATTTAAGTGACCTGGTGCTGTGTTTCCACCCTGTGACCTGAGCGGATCTTTGCATGTGGGAGGGGCCTCTGCATAAAAAGCAGAAGGTAGTGAAAGGAGGTTCAGTCTATGGACCTCGCCCCGTGAGGAGGACGCTGACTGTTCAATCAGAGAACTCAGCCCCTCCTGTGGTCCCCCTCCCCCTACCAGGAAGGCTGTTTATCGACGAATGGAATGATGAGGGAGGTCTGTTCAGGAAAAATGATGCTGTCAGGCAACAATGACAGATTTTGGGAAGAGACTTTAACCCCATGGAGGTGTTTACCTTCACTCAACAGAAGCCCTCCACACATTCGGGGACCACCCAGGTGTCAGACACAAACTCTTGTTTGTTTTCTTTTCTGATTAGCTTATGTTTACTTACTCCGTATTCAAAGATAAGAGACAAAATATACAAGTAATAATCACATTGAATTCAAATGGAGTTGGGTCCAACTTAATGTTTATCAGAATTCCCAAAGCATTTATATTTCCCTTACTTTTTATGACTATTTTTTCATCTGGAACAGTTTAAATACCCTCAAGAATCACTCTAGAGATGGTTTATTCACAGTAATTACACACAGCATTAATTCTGTGGACAAAGTAGACGTTTCTGCTGAGATGCTCGTCTTCCCAGCTTGGCTGACTTGCCCAGTGGGCTGTCCCACAGTATCCTGTCCGCAACTGAGTGTCTGCAGGAGCCTGTGAACCTCAGGACCCCCAGCCTGAGTGTGGACACTGAGGGCCCCAAGGCTACTGCAGACTGAGGACAGACAGCGCCCGGGAGCTCCTAGTGCTCTGACGTGCTGGGCAGGTGCCCTGGTCACTCTGCACAGACTCCGTCCTCCTCCAAGTGCTTATTTCTTCCTCTCTGTGTCCCGGCCGTGAGATGGGAGCTCAGGGAACATAGTCCCCACCACAGTGGTGAGAGGACACGCATGGTTCGTGGAGGTAAACCTTCACAGTGAACGGCGTGCAGTGTGAGGGCGGCAAGGTCAGAGGAAAGCCCCTCCTCAGGAAGCAGGTTCCCTTGAAAACCCCACTGAGAGCAGCTTTCCCGAGCCCAGGGGCTCCGTGTCCTGGACTGAGCCTGAGGTCCTCTGAGTCAGCAGTGCTGGAGAGCAGAGCACAGCTCCCCCGTCTCCCTGTGGCCCTGAGGCTGCGGCCTCGCGCCTGCATCCCGGCTGTGAGCATGGAGACTGGGGATGACGGCCGTCACCGTGCGTCTGGACTTTAGGTGGGCTTTCTGGGGGTGGTGAGTGCTGCCATCAGTGGTGTTATCTCTCCTGGAGGCAGAAAAGACCGGTGTGGGTCCCCATCTCTGACTGACACCCTGTCCATGTGACCCTGGCCCTCTCCTTCCTGAGATGTCAACACTGCAGCTTTGGGGCAGGTCAGCTCTCCCTCAGCCCAGGGATCTCAGCTGTGTTTCAGCTGAAGTGGAAACTGCTTTCTATGAAAAGCCCTTTCCTCCATCCCGTTACATGAGGAGAGTCCTAAACGGACCATATTGCTTCTGTCTTTTCCATAATATTGGTTGTTGTTGCTGTTCAGTCACTCAGTCATGTCTGACTCTTTGTGACCCCATGGACTGCAGTTCCCTGTCCTTCACCATCTCCCAGAGCTTGTTCAAACTGATGCCATCCAACCATCTCATTCTGTCATCTCCTTCTCCTTCGGCCTTCTATCTGTCCCAGCATCAGCGTCTTTTCCCATGAATTGGCTCTTCCCATCAAGTGGTCACAGTATTGGAACTTCAGCTTCAGCATCAGTCCTTCCAATGAATATTCAGACTGATCTCCTTTAGGATGGACTGGTTTGATCTCCTTGCAGTCTCAGGGACTCTCAAGAGTCCCACAGTTCAAAAGCATCAGTTCTTCAGCTCCCAGCCTTCTTTATGGTCCAACTCTCACATCCTTACATGACTAACGGACAAACCAAGACTTTGACTATATGGACTTTAGCTGACAAAGTCATGTCTCTGCTTTTTAATACACTGTCTAGGATTGTTAGAGCTTTTCTCCCAGCAGTAAGTGTCTTTTAGTTTCATGGCTTCAGTCATCATCCACAGTGATTCTGGACTCCAAGAAAATAAAGACTTTCACTGATTCCACTGTTTCCCTATATATGTCATGAAGTCATGGGTCTTCATGCCATGATCTTAATAATTTGAAGGCTGAACTTTAAGCCAGCCTTTTCACTCTCCTCTTTCACCTTTATCAAGAGGCTCTTTAGTTCCTCTTCGGCTTCTGCCATAAGAGTGGTGTCATTTGCATATCTGAGGTTATTGATATTTCTACTGGAAATCTTGATTTCGCCGTGTGATTCCTACAGCTCAGCATTTGTGTGATGTACACTGCATGTAAGTTAAATAAACACGGTGACGATAGAGAGCCTTGATTCATTCCTTTCCTATTCTTGATCCAGTCTCTTCTTCCATGATCTGTTCTAACTATTGCTCTTGAAGTGCATACACTTTTTTCAGGAGGCAGGTAATGTGGTCTGGTATTGCCATCTCTTTAATAATTTTCCATGCTTTGTTGTGATCCACACAGTCAAAGGCTTTAGCATAGTCATGAAGCATTAGTAGATTTTTAAGAAATTCTTTTTCTCTTTCTATGATCCAAAGGTTGTCGGCAATCTGATCTCTGGTTCCATTACCTTTTCTAAATCCAGATTATACATCTAGAACTTCTCAGTTCATGTGCTGTTGAAGCCTAGCTTGCAGGATTTTGATCATGGCCTTGCTAGCTTGTAATGTGAGTGCAGTTGTCCAGTGGTTTACCATTCTTTGGTGTTGCCCTTCTTCGGGGTTGGAATGAAAGCTGAACTTTTCCAGTCCTGTGGCCATTGCTGAGTTTTCCAAATTTGCTGGCATATTGAGTGCAGCACTTCCACCGCATCACCTTTTAGGATTTGAAATAGCCCAGTTGGAATACCATCACCTCCACTAGCTTTGTTCATAGTCATATGTCGTAAGGCCCAGTAGACTTCACAATCCAGGATATCTGACTCTAGTTGAGTGATCACACCATCCTGGTTATCAGTACCATGAAGATCTTCTTTGTATAGCTCTTCTGTGTATTCTTGCCACCTCTTCTTAATATCTTCTGCTTCTGTTAGGTCCCTACCATTTCTGTCCTTTATTGTGCCCATCTTTGCATGAAGTGTTGCCTTGGTATCTCTAATTTCCTTGAAGAGATCTCTAGTCTTTCCCATTCTGTTGTTTTTCTCTATTCTTTTGCATTGTTCACTTAAGAAGTCTTTCTTATCTCTTCTTCCTCTTCTTTGAAACTCTACTATCAGATGGGTATATCATTCCTTTTCTCCTTGGCCTTTCACTTGTTTTCTTTTCTCAGCTATTTGTAAGGCCTCCTCAGACACAACTTCTATCTTTTCAATCATATGAGTGAGTAAATTAAATCAGAAAGAACCTGCCCTGCCTGTGTGTAGGTAATAAGACCTTCAACCAAAGCAGGAAGAGCAAGAATCACAGGACACATCTAGACTCTCTGGTCTGGACCTGCAAAGTGAGCTGATGCTGTGGGGCAGGGGAGGGAAGGTGTGGCATCCAACACCTGGAGCAGGTGAGACTGTTGCTATTCACCAAGGGGCATCAGGGCCTGAATTTGCAGAGATGCCCCCACATCTGACCTGGACACCATGAGCTGGTGGAGTTAGGAGACACATATAAGTTCATGTTCCCACAGAAGGAAATATAACAGGTCCTAGGTTCATGGACCTCTTCGGTGCACAGATGTGTTGTGTCCGAACAAGGGTCTGTGAGTTCAGTGTGTGAGTTCAGTCTGTGAGTTCACTGTGTGAAGATGTGTCCTCACACCACAATATTTTAATGTGAAATGTTCCTTCATTACAAGGAAGTCTGTGGAAAATATTTATATTTAAAATTAAGTATGTCAAAACATTGTTGCACACTTTTGCATAAGAACTCATACAAAGAAATAATAAGACATTGATAAATGTGCTCAGTCATGGCTGACTCCTTGAGACCCGTTGCCTGCATCACGCCAAGCTCCACCATGCACCAGTATCTCCAGTGTTGCTATCTGACCGCAACATTCTCTGTCTTCCCCTTCTCATTTTGCCTTAAATCTTTCCCAGCATTGGAGTCTTTCTCAATGTCTCAGCTCTTTGCATCAGGTGGCCAATGTATGGGAGCTTCAGCGTCAGCATCAGTCCTTCCAATAAATATTATGGTTGATTTCCTTTTGAATTGACTGGTCTGATGATCTTGCAGTCCAAGGGAAACTGAAAACTCTTATCCAGCAGCACATTTCTTTTACATCAATTTTTCAGCTCTGGACTTCAATAGAGCCATTTACAATGAAGGTTCTAGATATGGTGGACTCTCTTCATTGTAGGAGCACATAGCAGACCCAAGACCTTCAAAACAAGCCATGACCTTACACAGTGGACACCTTGCACACAAGTTTTTGGGCTAAACCTCCCTCTAATCCCATCATGAATTTAATCTTATCATTGCTTGCTTACAGGTCAGCAGTCCTCTTGTTTTCTAAGGACTTGGGTTATCCCACCTCTAGTGATCATTACCTCTTTCTTACATCCTTTCTTATAGTGTCTAAGAAGAAGAAAATGTCAGACTCTGTATTTTGATGACTATTGACCCCCTAAGGCTTCTTCCTGTTTTTCTCCTCTGCCCACACACTGGAGATTCAATAAGAAACATGTTTTCCCTCTTTTGATGCAGGTGTGAGACTGAACCCACAGGAGCCTCTCCTGTGAGCAGGACCCTCATCACTTCAACACCTC